TCAGAAGATCAACTGGCAGATATCTTAACCAAAGCTGTTTGTGGCAGAGTATTTCATGACTCACTTACCAAGTTGGGCATTTGTGACGTATATGCACCAACTTGAGGAGGAGTGTTGAAGTGAGTCTCCTAATTAATCAAGGAGATTTATTTCCTTGATTAATTAAGGGATTTACTTTCCTTTTTTATATAGTTGTCAAATCATTGTATAATTAGGAGATACTTTCCTAATCCTTTACTATATCTAATTCCTTGTAAAGCACTCATGTAAACTATTATATATACCTCCTTATGGAGAAGAATAAAATAAGAACCTAACATATTCAAAACCATATTCATATTTTAGCAGAGGTAAGATGTTATGCAAGAGAGGAACCTGCCTGCCTCAAAGTAGCCTCTGGTCTCTTCCTTGTTACAGCAATAGCGTTTTCTAGAAATGGCAACCTTAATCAAATCATTTCTCGGAGTCTGATTTTGCAAAAACTGTTTCGTGCATAAGCTGGAGCAATGTACTTTGGATCTTTTGCTGCAAAATCAGCAAACTTCAGTATGGCTTCTCTGGGATCTTCCTCCATCCAAGTCTCCTGATCATGCCCCTTTGCTGAGATGAGTATCTTTTCGGCAGTTACATAAATTTGGAAAGAAAAGATAAATAGTGAATGGAGAAAAAGCCATTACCTTGATAAGGTTACTTGCGCCAACTCGTCCACCAAAGCTGGTCCTGTCATGGGGAGTTTCAGGCTTATGGGATTTCAGAGGGTCCTTCAATCTTCTCTCACTCACTCTTACGGCTTGGCTGATCTCTAAATAAGGGTAGAGCTGCATGAGGGTTGTGAATCAATGGTTTTGCCTCAAAATCATCAATAGATTGTTTCCTCAGAGGACGTGCAACACAAACAAGAGCTCCTCTTTCACTAATGGTCGGATCACTAAGAGCTCCTCCTTGGCTTTTATCTCATGCTGTTGCAAAGATCTTCACAAAACAAAGGCACGTGAGACTTTTCATTCTTATATTTTTGGAAAGTCAAAGGCATGAGAATTTCTGAGTATACATTCATTCTTCATTTATTGTGTGCTTCTCAATAGTTCACCAAGCGCTTCAGAAAAAAAATGATAGATTAAACAAGCACGTTTATAAGTGAGAGTATTATTACCTGATTGAGTTTTGGGTGCAAGGCACACTGCACCAACACTACAGGTGGGGGATGTCCCAACTTTCTGAAACAAGTTCAAGTTTTGCTCGATCGAAGAAGCATAGCAAACCTTAGTAGTGCTCCCCCTTTCAACCGATGTTCCACTCAAGTAGAGTTGCTCATTACCTTCACTTCAATGAACCGTCAAGGCTTCTTGACAGTAAGATTCTCCCATCCATGGAAAACTTAAGCCCAGTAATATCATCTGAACGACTATTTTGAACGTGTATATCTGGCCTGCTTCCCCATCCAGGCTTAAGGTTCCATATCTGTCAGAATGATGCATGTTATGTGAGAAGAAGCTCAAGGAAATAGCGTTTTTAAGTACAAGAACAGCATAAATCTTCTCTCCAACCAATGCAAACTCCATTTTGGGGTGGGGGAGTCCTAGTGAGCTTCTTCACTTCTGAGCCCTTTTGAGGTAAAGAGACATTCAGCCCACACATGTATGGAGCCATCAACTATACCACCTGCAACACAGGCACAAGTGGTGACCGGAACTCTTCCAGGCCTAGCAAGTTTTGGCTTCATTACCGGTTCATTGAACAAGTATTGCATCATTTAGTATAAAACATCAAGTCCAGTAATATGCATTCTCATTACTAAAAGCCAAAAAGAGTATCCACATTAAAAATCAATCTAAAAGGCAAAAAAGCATTGTTGGATCAATAATACCATTTCGCTAGTGCCATAGTTATGCTAGACACCCTCCCTCAACACGGGAGTAGTTTATTTTACCTTCTATTTTTTTCTTCAGCAAAATCAGTCAGTTTGTAATCACAGTTGGTACCAGCATTTTCATCTTCTTCGCCATTTCAAACACCCAAAAATAAATCACAGAAAAGTTTAGCTGTTTTCCGACAATCCAAATCTCAAATCGTACCATTCAACTTTAGTACATCAAACTCGAAGCCTAGTATTTGATATATAGTACCACCATAATCCGTAGATAACCTAAGCATTGTACCAACTACAAGCATACAAATTCAATTGACGACGGAACTTTTCTTTAACTCCTCTGTCAATTCCATGACACGATCCACCCAATTGACATATCTACAGCATTCCAGGTCTCGTAACTTTTTCCCGGTGTGAATGAAACGGGCCCTATTTCTACGAAGATGAAAGTTAACATCAAAGTTGAGAGTCATAGTAGACATCCACCGATACTGCCTTCGCCTTGAAAGGGTACTAGTAGCTGCTGCTTCCTTCTGCGGCAAGAGAGACAATATGCTAACGAGAATTTCATCTGGCATCTCGCTGATGCAATCCACCGAGTTGTACTCACCATTACTTTTCTCGATCTTCCTTTTGTTATATTTTGGCCCGTGTCTGTCTCCCAGTTTGAACTCACACTTGTGATAGATGAATTGGCCCAAATAAAAACAGAAACATAAAAAGAGTAAGGACTGAGGAGCAGTGGCAGACCTAGAACTATATCTTTGTGAGAGATTTCAAACTTTAAACACGGACACTTCCAGTCAATAAAAATTTGATCTGTGTCAAATAAGAAAGATGCAAGATTAAACCAGTTAGATATCTGAGAAATATAAAAGAAACAAAGGGTGAAATTGTTATAGTTGTCTGTTATCTGTTATCTGGCAAATAAAAAAGATGCTATTATCAAAACAATTGATATCTGGGAGATAAAAGAGTGCAAGCTTTCTAGTGTAAAAGTCAGTGTTTACCTTGTCTTGGACAAGTTGAGAGGTTGGGAATCCATTAAATTATTAACAAAAGGCATAAGAAAAACACCCATCGTAACAATAAGAACCAAACCAGAATCAACTTTCATATTCGGTAAAGAGAGGAAACTATGCAAATTTTCCACAACTTAGATACGTGGCAAATAAGAAATATGCAATTTTAAACCAGTTAGATATCTGAGAAACTAAAAGAAACAATGCGCAATTGCTCTAATGGTTTGATATCTGGAAAGTTCAAAAGGATGCAGCTTTCAAACCAATTAGATATCCGGGAAGTAAAAAGGTGCAATCTTTCTGGTGTTACAGCCGGTGTTTACCTCTTCTTGGACAAGTTGAGAGGTTGGGCGCACCATGTTCTTTTTCTCCTTCTTTCCCAAGTAGACCTCATACTTCTAATAGGTGTATCAGCCTAAAAGCAAACATAAAACAGAACATAAACAGAGTAAGAACTGAGTAGGGCTGTTAGTCAGTTTGAAACTGTTAATATTTCGCCAACATAGATTGGATTGTGTATTTTGCATCCAATGCAATGAGGTCAGAATCGAAACCAATCCGCTCCAATTACATATAATCAAATTGGATTGGATAATCAGTTAAAAGATGCAATTTTTAAACTAAATCGATTCTGGGAAATAAGAAAGTTGCAAATTTTCTTGCGTAAAAGACAATGTATGTTTACCTTGTTTTGGACAAACTCTGAGGATGAGCTTGCTCTTCCCTTCATCAAATCTGACATGCTTCAGGGTTTTTTTTGGTTGGTCGTGTGAAAGTAAACTGCATTCGAGATTCCTGAACTGGATCAGTTTCTCCAATGTTAAAAGATGAGACAGGTTATTTACCCAAAAACAAAAAGAAAAAACGAGGCAACAGGTTACAGGAAAAAATCAGGTAGACTAGAGAGATTTTATTAGAGTCTGTGTGGCATAAGACCTTCTAAGAAGTCATGTTGGGTTATTGAGGTTTACCTTATAAATCCAAGAATAATATTGGCTAAAGTTAATATATGAAGAGTTTAGTGCTTTTGGTCTGAGAATGGTTTTTTATTTCACTGTGAAATGTCAATTACATATGTCGAAGCTCTACCAACTTGAATCGTTGATTTCTTTGTTTACTAAATTGTCCGCAGTATTATTGGGGAAGGAAAATAACAATATCTACCGGAAATCAGTAGAAAGTAGCAACTATTGTTTTAGATGACGATTATCCATATCTTGCGGCGATTTTACATGTTTTGCACCGGTTTCTTAGGCATTAGTGACGGCTTTTGAGCCCATTATATGGAGCGCATCTTTAGCTACATTTTTCCCGTCACTAACCGCAGCTATTGATGTTTTTAGCAACGGCTGAGAAAACCACCGCTAAAAGTTGAAATTTTGGTTTAATTTCCCTCCATCCCCTGTTTAAAGAGGTTTTTTTTTGCCACACACAATGTAAATTAGGAATGTCCTTTGATTCCATTTGTTAAAAGTTTCACTCAAGTTATTTCCTAGTGTTATGATGAAAATATTGTGCACATATGAAACACTTGGCATGATCTCTCAAATATCTCTCATCTTCCTCACCCATTTCTTATACCACAACAAAACAAATGATTAAGCAAACTTCAAAACACATCTGCTTTGCTCTATGACTTGCATGGTAGAATGCTTCTTGGCTGCTGAAAAATTAACTTGATCTGCTCCAATGCCTAATTCACAAATACAACAAAGTCAGAAAAACTCCAGAAAATAATTTCATGCATCTGTGTGTACATAACACCAGATAAGCGAGAACATAGAAGATACCAGAATAGACGCTTTCAGCTCATCTTAAGACTCATGCAACAAATAAGCATATAAAGAAAAGGGCTTCTGAAATCAAAATAATTACAGGATATGAAGAATTTTAAGAGTAAGCCAAAACTGGAGTCTTGAAACACCATCTGCTTTCCAAAAACTCGAATTTAGGGTTTGAAATACAAGAGCAAAGAATTACATCAAATAGGGGAAAACTTTTTTAAAACACTAAATTGCAGACCTTGCAGCTTTTGGTGTTGTGGAACTAGAAATGGAGAGGATGGCCGTACTCTTTTCTTCACTGAAGCGTCTCCTACTACTCTGACACAGGTCACGTGGCGGCTATGGCGTAGCAGAAGTGCTCGCAGACGGCGTCGTGACGAATTTAGGGTTAGGGATTTGGTTCTGGTCGAATAGGTTTGGGGATTTTGGTAAAGACAGAAAAATTGGGGATTTCGCCAATTCCTTCCCTTACTAATAATCCGATTTGGGGCTTCCCCAAAACTGATTTGGGCCTTAACGACTAGCCCAATTCCTAGCCTTCTGGACTTTCCAATTCATCTAAAACCCAATTATTTCTTAAAGTGCGCCGCGGGGCCCACATATCCAAACTTTCATCATACGTGTCTATTAATATCTACATGTCATTGTTAGGAATAGATGTGACTCCTAAATCGGCAGAAAATCTAATTAGTTTAATAGTAATTATGTAGTCAATGTCAAAGTCAAACCCCCCGCATGGTCAATTCATCAACAATGCATAGAATATTAAAAATTAAATGAACGGTGATGATAGACATTGGAATGTATTAAGCAGCCTCAATGTAAGCTAGCCTATAAACATATTAATTTATAAATTAATTCAATCATTACATGAAATCAAAGTGGCCAACAGACCCTAGTTGCCTGGGTTTGAGCGCATTATAAAAAGAATGCGACCAAGGTCATTTTATGTCTGACTTTGACCTCGTCTTTAGTTGCTTGGGTATGCGCACTTGTCGTGGCTTCGATTCAATTCCTCATTTCTCAAACCAAGACTTAAATGGGAGCTGTGGTGGCGGCAGTGGGTTGTTGTGCTAGTCTTCTTGGGATTTAGACTACATGGGTGGGTTGGGTTCAATGAGCCCTGTTGTAGGGTGGTTCATACTAGGTGTAGGATTTTATCACAAAAAATATTGGTCATATTCGTAGTGAAACTATTCATTATATATTTTATTTTATTTAGTTAAGTTTCCAATATGAAACTTATATTCTTCAACACTCGTTTAAAACAAAATATTTGAGCGAACCCAAGACCATATACATCTATGAATTGTGATATGTAACACGTGTTTGTTTTTATATCAAGTTGACTTGAGGCGAAATAGAAAATGAAATAAATTACAATCAATATGGAATATACGGTGAACCGACGCATTTTCCTTTTGGCAAATATGGATGGCGCTTATGTTCGGAATAGGTGGCCGCCTATATGGCGCATTAGCAAATGATGTAAACTCGATAAATGCAATACAAATATAGTTGGTATAAAAGTCAATGTATAAAAGTCAAACCCCCCACGTGATGGATTTCACCCTCTCTTTAGCGTGAATGGTGAAGGGGGCTAGCCACAATGCGTGTGATATATGAAAATGTAATGAATGGTGATGATATCATCCATGATGTCTGAAACTTTTGATCATGACATATATCATGCACGGCTTCTTTCTATAAATTATTCCAGGAAAGTGACCAACAAAAGCAAAACCATTTTTCTCTTGCTTTCCGTTTTCCCATGATTTGCTATCTTCTTTATTAAGTTTGGAACTTTGGATAAAAAAGACTTGGGTTTTTCATTTGTAGCTCTAGCTAGCTCTTGCTGGTTCTTCTACAATGGAGATAAGTTGTGATCTTGAGAAAGCTGGTCACAGTTTCAAAAGCTCTTCCTTTTGGACTGACAATGGCGTAGGAGTTTTCTCATCATCTTCACGTGGAGAGGATGATGAGGAAGCTCTCAAGTGGGCTGCCCTTCAGAGACTTCCAACTTTCCAGCGCTTGAAGAAAGGTTTGATCTCTACATCCGAAGGCCGTGCCGACGAAGTTGATGTGAGCCGTCTTCAAGTACAAGAAAGGAAGAATTTGATTGAGAGGTTGGTTGGAGTAGCTGAAGAGGATCATGAGAACTTTTTGTTGAGGCTCAAGAACCGCATTGATAGGTAAGAATTTAGAATTAATCTCAACTCTACATATTTCTATTTTTCTTGAATTTTCTCTGTTTTTTTAATTATATATTTATAATAATGGGTTTGTTTTACTTGGAATGTATCTCAGAGTTGGAATTAGCCTTCCTACAATTGAAGTTAGATTTGAGCATTTAAAAATTGCAGCTGAAGCATATGTAGGAGGCAGAGCTCTGCCTACAGTCTTTAACTACTGTGTTAATTTAGTGGAGGTAATGATTAACCACTAAAATCCAGTTTGTGTATTGCATATATAATCTTGGTGTTAATGCATTCTAACATAACTATTTGTTTCTGGGTTCCAAAGGGTTTGTTGAACTCCCTCCGTATTCTTCCTAGCAAGAAGCAACACTTGACTATCCTTAAAGATGTGAGTGGGATCATCAAGCCTTGCAGGTGAGAAAGTTGCAGACTATGTCTAAAATATATATTTGTTGGAGTTTGTGTGGCCTAATACTCACTTGGTTCATGTGTTTGCTCAGAATGACACTGCTTTTGGGTCCTCCGAGTTCCGGAAAGACCACACTGTTGTTGGCTTTGGCGGGAGAGCTTGACCGGGATCTTAAGGTTACACAAAATGAAATGGCGCCTTAAGATTTTTTATTTTAGCTTTAGTCTAAAGGTATTACTCTTGGATTATGTTACTAATTAGTCAAAATTCTTGTGCAGTTTTCTGGACGTGTGACTTACAATGGTCATGACATGCATGAGTTTGTGCCTCAGAGGAGTGCTGTCTATATCAGTCAACATGATGTTCATATGGGCGAGATGACAGTCGGAGAAACGTTGGCTTTTTCTGCAAGATGCCAAGGGGTTGGAGCTCGTTATGGTTCGTTTACAGGACTTCTTTTAATTGAACTTTCAGAATCAGACGAGAGACTATAACAGGAAACGATGATTGAGGTTTTTTTTCTTCTTCTGAATTTTGACAGATATCCTAGCAGAGATAAGTAGAAGAGAGAAAGAAGCGAATATTAAGCCAGATGCAGACTTGGATATCTACATGAAGGTGAGAATATCTACTTAAGAGACTACAACTATATTATGGACACCATTTTTCTTGGATGACAAACTATATTTCAGGATTCAGGGGAGTTTTTCGTTTTACAAGATGTTTTTGAAATGATCAACCATTTAGTGATGTTAATTTTAAGTTGTTTTTTGTAATTATAGGCCGTGGCATCAGAAAGCCAGAGGGCACAAGTGGTGACAGATTACATTCTAAAGGTAGAGCATCATATTTGTTTTTGCAATAACAAAAGGACTTTTGAAAATTACCCTTGCACTATTTCTCTTTATTGATCAATGATTCTATTTGATTTTCAGATCCTGGGACTGGATGTCTGTGCAGATACCTTGGTAGGGGATCAATTAATTAGGGGAATCTCTGGAGGACAAAAGAAGCGAGTCACAACGGGTAAACAAAGTCTAGTTCTTGCATTAAAGCACATGCATTGTAAATTTAAGTGGCAAATCTTTGACAAATGAATATTATATAGGTGAAATGTTGGTTGGACCTGCTAAGGCATTATTCATGGACGAAATATCTACTGGTTTGGATAGTTCAACTACGTATCAAATTGTGAATTCAATCAAGCAATATGTTCATATTCTCAAGGGGACTGCATTCATCTCACTGCTGCAGCCAGCACCTGAGACTTATGAACTATTTGATGACATTGTTCTCCTTTCTGATGGTCAAATTGTGTACCAAGGTCCTCGTGAACAAGTTCTTGAATTTTTTGAATCCATGGGCTTTAGATGTCCTGAGAGGAAAGGTGTGGCTGACTTCCTGCAAGAAGTAGGTCCTTATATTGCTTTGTTTTGATCATGTGAAAATAAAGAAAATGAGCATCACACATGGAGTCTCACATAAAATATGTTGTAGGTGACGTCAAGGAAAGATCAGGAGCAATATTGGGCAACCAAAGATGAGCCTTACAAGTTCATCACAGTAGAGGAATTTGTTGAGGCATTCAACTCATTCCCTGTGGGACGCAAACTTGCAGATGAACTTGCAACTCCATTTGACAAGACAAAGAGCCATCCAGCTGCATTAACAACAAAAAAGTATGGTGTTCGAAAAACAGAACTATTGAAAGCTTGCTTTGCAAGGGAATTCTTGCTTATGAAGAGGAACTCATTTGTCTACCTTTTCAAGCTTACCCAAGTGAGTTTTAACTTTACTTAAGCTTCTACTATAACCATTCTTTTGTCTTGTGCTCCTGGGTTTGATTTTTATTTTTTATTTTTCTTATTTTTAGCTCTCAATCTTGGCTCTAATTACAATGACACTGTTCCTACGGACTGAGATGCACCGTGATTCAGTAAGTGACGGAGGAATTTATGCTGGTGCTTTGTTCTTCTCCCTGGTTGCTGTTATGTTCAATGGATTGGCAGAGCTTTCAATGACAATTGCCAAGCTTCCTGTTTTTTATAAGCAAAGAAAACTACTCTTCTTTCCACCATGGGCATATGCCCTTCCCGCATGGATCCTCAAGATCCCTATCACTTGTCTTGAAGTAGGTGTTTGGGTATTTATTACCTACTATGTCATTGGATATGATCCAAATGTTGAAAGGTAAAACAACTAGAAAAAGTTACCACTTTATGGCTAACATTTGTTTTCATGTTTTCTCCATAAAAAAAATAATGAATATTCATGCACATGATGCAGGTTGTTTAAGCAGTTCCTTCTACTCTTACTCATTAATCAGATGGCTTCTGCGTTGTTCCGATTCATTGCTGGAGTTGGTAGAAGCTTGACTATCGCGAGCACATTTGGATCATTTGCTCTGGTCATGCTTTTTTCTTTGGGTGGCTTTGTCTTGTCAAGAGGTATAAAACAAGTAAAGAAACTTCATGTTACATTGCTTAATTGCTATGCAATGGTGTTTATTTTCTTTTGATTGTTTCCACAGAGGATATAAAGAAATGGTGGATATGGGGCTATTGGATGTCACCTTTGATGTACGGGCAGAATGCAATAGTAGTCAATGAGTTCCTTGGAAAGAGTTGGAGTCATGTAATCCTTTGATTTGCCTTTTTCAAACATTTTGGCTTGTGTCTCTTATTCATAGTCTAATTACTTTGTTCTCTTAAAGGTTCTTCCAAACTCAACCGAACCGTTAGGAGTTGCTGTTCTGAAGTCCCGTGGATTCTTCACTCATCCATCTTGGTATTGGATTGGCGTGGGAGCATTGGCTGGATACATGCTTATATTCAATATTTTTTTCACTTTGGCTCTCACTTATCTAAAGCGTGGGTACCTTCACCTTATCTTATGTGC